TCTATCTATCTATCTATCTATCTATCTATCTATCTATCTATCTATCTATCTATCTATCTATCTATCTATCTATCTATCTATCTATCTATCTATCTAAATGCCCTTAACTTGAGTTTAAATGACCAGAATGGACTGATAGACAGTCATCTGGCTTTCATTTCTCTCTTTAAGCAGAGGCGCAGCTTCCTTTGGGTTGACAGGTAAAACAATGGATGTCCGAGACTTGCAATAGACACTAATGTTATACACAGAGGTATTAGTGAACAATCATATGCAGGTTGGTGCAGATAGACGAACATTTGCAACATGGTTGCTGGAATATAACATGACAAGTTGATGAATGTGGTAGCCCGGATGGTTAGGAAGGCTCTTTTCTTGGCAGGATGCAGCTCATCTTTTTCTGGTGCTGATTTCATCAGCGTTATCAAGATGTTTCTGTTGTAGTAGATCATCATTGTGCAACTGAATAACACCAGAAAACGTGGGATAGCCCTTAATACCAGATCTGTCTGAGAGGGGATATTAAATAGATTACTTATGAAAACAGTAACTGCAGTAAGGAGCCACACTGTCAGAGCACACATCTCCCTGAATTTGTATTTATTCAGCAGATGGTAAGATGTGGGGTAAACCACAGCAACGTATCTCTCCATGCATATGAAAACCAAACTTGATGCGCCTCCTGTTTGTGTGTAGCTAAGCAAAACCTTGAGCAGGTTTATCTGGTACTGTGGCAGCAAAAACAGGAAAATTAAATGAACGAAGGATGAAAAATAATGCACAGTGTGGAAGATAGCTAAATTACAGTTGAGGATATCTATAGCCTTCTTGGATGTGAAGATGATCCACAGCAGTTTCCCTACCACTGCTTCCCCGATGATAAAAGTAAAGATGTCAATCACTGAGAGCATCGCTATTTGAGTAGGTGCAAAAAGACATTGGTCAGCTTTGCTGGAGTTGAATGTGGCATTGCTGGATAAATTCTCCATCTTACCAGACTGTAGTTGAAAACAGAGAGAAGAAAAATCAGTGAAAAGCTGCCAATAGAGGTTTAAAGATTCAAATGTTTTACATGTCCACTCACCAAACACTATTAGGTACACTATGTATTTGAAACCTCCTCCCTCTTCTCCTTCCCTTTAGCACTGCTTTAATTATTATAACAATTATTATAATAAGGCATTTTTGCCCAGAGGACTGCCGCTCATTGGATATCTTTTCATTTTCAAACTATTCTCTGTAAATTCCAGAAATGTTCATGGGGAAAGACCAGCAGACCAGCGTGTCTGGCACCAGCAACTATGCATCATTCAGAGTCATTTAAATCACCTTTCTTCTCAACTTCAGCAGATGGTCTTGATCATTTCGACGTGCCTAAATGTATTGAGATGCTGGCATGTGATTGGCTGACTAGATATCTGCGTCAACGAACAGTTAAACAGGTGTACCTAATAAAGAGACCAATAAGTCTATATGTTGTAATATAAATGCTAGGGTATTATATAAATACAGAAATGCCTACTGTATAATAAAATGTGTTTTAATCATTTACATTTTTATATTTTTTGATACAGTTTCAACTTAGTTGTCCTACCAGGAAATAAAAAAAACATATGCAACTTTATTTATTGATTTTGATCTTCAAAAAGATAAAAAAAAAAAAAAGAGAAGAGAATCTTTACTGTACTAACGGAGTTTTCAAAACACAAGCATTTTTGAGAATCAGTTGTAACATTGTGACCTTAAAAATCTGTGTATTATTAACTTTTTCTTTAAAAATAAGGCTTAAATAAGAAGACGATAACAGACATGACATGAAATGACATTTATGAATATAATCAGACAACAAAAAACACTGAAACTCAAAGTCTGTGCTTACCAGGTGTGTAAAGCTGCTGCTTGAAGGCCAACAAAAATGACAGACTTTACAGCGCACACAGTACAAATGACATCTGATTTCCCTAAAAGGCGGCAAGTGGGTTAAAGGCAGCCAAGCAAAACACGTCCTGATTTTCCTACTGGCAAAGTGTGAAGGATGTTTGTGACGGTACTGGCTGTGACATTCTCAAACATAAAGGAAAAACAAATGTGAAGAAACCAGCAGCTGAGCGCTGAGATTTATTGTGTTAGGCAAAGCAGAAATCCCACAGACCACAAGGTGTCAGTGTGGACCATAACTGAGAAAGAAATCCTGCGCGCTGCACTGACAGCACTATAAGGAGCACACAGGTTATCACACAAGACTCAGAACAGTACTTTTATTTTTCTTTCTGAATATACATTTTATGTTGCTGCATCACAAATGTTTCTGCTTTGGAAATGAATGGTTATGTTATTTATTTATTTTTAGCTCCAATCAAACACATTTGTTAATGAAGAGCAGATACTGGTTAACACTGGACAAGTCAGGGAGTTAATGGTTGCAGGATTGATTTCTGCTTTCACGCAAGAGCTCTGATAATCCCAAGAACAGTTAGTTGTTGTAAAAAGTATCAATATTTTTTCTGGTTATATCATGTCACTTTATATTAATGATGTTTCTCTGTTAGTGTGATAAATGTAGCCTATATGAGAGATGTAGCCACTGTGATTTTAACATCGCTGTTTCCATATCAGATTTTCAGAGTCAGACGAAATCATGCTTGGATTGTTGTTCTAGTATTTTATGTCCCCATTACTTTGCAGGTATCTGTTAATGTGCATCGCT